GCACCTAATCTGCGAACCTTAACTGATTTTGTTGTACAATGTCTATTTAATTTGAAGGTGCATTATTCTGATTGCTTAGATTGCATCATTACTGTATTCCAGGTTAATTGATGCATTCACTGGAAATTTGAAGACCACGTTCGAAGGACACCGAAATGACCAGGTCAGGTTGTTTCATTGTTGAATGTTCACTGCGCTTGTTTTTTTTTATTTTATTTTGTCCTGTGATTGCTTTCTGTCTCTATTCCTAAAGGTGCTGAAATACTAGTGTCGGAGTGTTCCTATTCATTATTACCACATGAACGATTCTGAAGAATCCGACAATAAGCTCCCTAGGCGTGGTTGCGTCGGAATATTCAGTGTCAGCGATTGCTTTTTTTTATTATACTCTTTATAGCAAGAGGCGCTGGAGGCGTCGTTTTCGCCTGATTCCCAATTTGTTTTTTGTGGTTCGTCAGACCGCTGCATTCATGCTTGGTGTACAGAAACAGGTACATTTTTGGTTGTTTCGGGCCGCATGTCCCTTTCGTGGTTTACAGTTCTTTGGTCGTTTTAGGTAAAAGAGTGGCCACGTTTGAAACAGAGCACGATAACCACTTAAGAATTGTATCGTGGAATCCAAAGCATTTTATGGTGGCTTCAGCCTGCACGAAGCTGGTATGTATTCTTGATATAATTAGACATCAGCTTGTAAATTCCCCAACACCCATGAAATCATTTTCAAGAATTGCTGAATTGTTTTTCTGGAAAAACCAATTTTGCGGCTTCATTAAAGAACAACTTTAGTACTCATAACTCTTCCTTTTTTCCGATAGGGGGATAATGGAATGTTCCTTCCCAAAGTGTTAATTGGACTTTATTTTTCGATTAAGACACTAGATAATATCTTAGCATTGCAGCATTGACATCCGCGACATTGCGAATTCAGCGAGTCGTGGGGCCGGAGCAATTTCCACCTTTTCAACGATACACCAGCGTTCGAACAATGTACCTAGCGACCAAATGGTTATTAAAACTGGTGGGAGTCCCTCTCATGCGCACGTTGCCCCCTCCCACTTTCCCATGCTGCCGAGTCCTCGCGGGCTCTCACGTTTTGTGAGCCCGGGAAAGTGGCGTGAGCCTACGAGTGTAGAGAGGGACTCCAGCATTTCCAAACCCTGTCAAGGCGCTGGTGCAGCGTTCAAACTACTGATGCATAGTTCGAACCGCTGGGCCTCGCTGTACCCCCGATTTGCTAGCGTTTAGCTGGATTCGCGAGGGATGACACCGGCTCAAAGGTGCTTCCATTCAAAAAAAAAAAAAAAAAAAAAAGATTTTGCTTAGGGGATACGGCATCGAAGACAGTTGGTACATGTTTTCCAGAGTATTCATGTATTTGTATTTCAGTGTTTCTGGATCCCAGGCGACGAAGTGGTCGAGAACTGAAACACACGTCAGACAAAAGATTTCATTTGTTCTCATGTACATATGCATATACATCCCTTTTATTCACACCGTTGTTAATTGTACTAAGAAGGTTGCCTAGCATGAAATAATTTTAGGTTGTTGTCAATCTCGAAGTTATGAAGTTTACACAATTCTCGAGCGATGTAAGCCTCCTGAAAGACGCATCATGTTGAAGGTTCACAGC